AGAACCATTTTAAAATATATTTTGCAATTTGTTAACTGTAGGCATCCACATTTTTCTTCCACCACATAAATCTGTTCCTTTGATTAAGTTGGCAATATCTGCTAGGATCCACAGAATGCAGCAAAACAAACAACAACAAAAAAAAACCCCAGTGGTTATTTCTCAAGATTTGAGAAATCTGGTCCACCTTTAGTGTAGTTTCCTGAGATTTCTGCTCCACTGAAGTCAAAACCAGGATTTTCTTTCTGGACTCTCTCTAATGTAAGCTTTCTCTGCATTTGGTCTTGGACCCAAGGATCAGCTGCATATTCAGATTCTAGAAGAGAAGTCCAACAATTTGCCGCATCTCTCTTTGTCTTTGTAAGAACAATACGAACCATTTTTCTATCCTCCAAAGTCCATGTTCCCTCATCAGCTATTGTAGAATCAAAGAGTTTGCCCTTGAGGATCTCGCGGCCACCCACCGCCAGGGCCACATGCTTGCTCCGCAGGCCACACTGGATATCCTGGGCGCGAGTGCCTGGTGGCACCTGAACTTCAATGAACACCTCCTCCAGGGTCTGGTACCACTGGCCCCACGGGGTCCCGCACGAACCCACCCACTCGCGCTCCTCAAATGGGCAGACAGAATCCAATCCGTTCCCGGCTGCAGCCGCACCAAGCCAGCCGAGCGCAGGCGCGGAGTCCTCTGAAGAGTTTTTTAAATTATATTCACATGGAATACTTTTCTTCCATGCTTGATCTAATTCTTCCACTCTGAATTTAGACTTTTTTAAAGCGCGAAGAATGAGCCTAGACTGTACTCATTCTTTGTTGGTATCATGGGAGAAAATCTCAAGTCATTGTTTCTAGACTTCACTTACAAACCAGGATGCTAACTTTCCCTTGGCAAATAAATATATTTTCTTTAGTATTTCCAGGATTAGTTGAAAAAAGATATCCCTTATTTTTCATACATCCTTATTTAATTTTTTCTCTATTAGCTTCACCATCATAGCAGTGCCTGACCCCAAACAAACAAAAGCTCTGAATCAGAGTCTCCTGGACATCATTTCATTTGACATTTCAGATCTTCTGTTTATGCTGGGTCAGTAAAGATGCTGCCAGACATCTTCAGGATATATGTGTTCTATTTTGTATTTGTGTTTGATACAGAAGTAAATTTATATTTAATATTTAAATATTCTGTTCCTTTAGGTTTTCCTGTTTCTAGTCTACACTGTAATTTGATAATGGAGAAACTGGATTTAAATTCCATATGGATAAAATGGCATGTTACCTTTTCACTAAAACACCAAAGTAATTTATCTTAATCTGGAGGTTTAGAGTGCTAACGTAATACCACTTAAAATTTCTATATGTCTCCTTTTCTATAGAACTGGACCTTCTGTTTAACTTACCCTTGACTGCCTGTGGTAGCCCTTGTGAAGCTCACAAAAGACTAGTAGTTTATTTCCCCAATTATCTGTTTGTCATTTACTTCTTAGGACCTGTATATTAAAATCTTTTTGAGCTTCAGGTTGATGAAACTTGTATTTTTAATATTTTGATTAAATTTACAAGATTCTGCTTTGTTATTTGCTTTTTTTTTCAGATTGAAAAGAAATGCTGAGAAATACATAAAGCTTTCCTCTTCTGCCTCGGCTATTTACAATGGGTATCGGGAAGTCTAAAATAGATTCCTGCCCTCTTTCTCTCTCTTGGGGTAAAAGCCACAGCGTGGATACAAGTCAAGGACATTATGAGTCAGCTTCCAAGAACTCTGAGGACATCTCCCTGTGTGATGTTGCTGAGTGTCCCAAGACGACAGAGGAGCCCCCAGGGGAGCAGGAGGGAGCTGAGGGAGAGGCAGAGACGCCTGAAGAAGACGATGAAGAAGAGGAGGTGTTCCTCAAATTTGTGATTCTGCATGCTGACGATGACACGGATGAAGCCCTCAGAGTCCAGAATGTGCTGCAAAACGACTTTGGTATCAAACCAGGAATAATCTTTGCTGAGATGCCCTGTGGCAGACAGCATTTACAGAATTTAGACGATGCTGTCAATGGGTCTGCATGGACAATCTTATTACTGACTGAAAACTTTTTGAGAGATACCTGGTGTAACTTCCAGTTCTACACGTCCCTAATGAACTCCGTTAACAGGCGGCACAAGTACAACTCGGTTATACCCATGCGGCCCCTGAACAATCCCCTCCCCCGGGAAAGGACTCCCTTTGCTCTCCAAACCATCAATGCCCTAGAGGAAGAAAGTTGTGGCTTTCCTACACAAGTAGAAAGAATTTTTCAGGAGTCTGTGTATAAGACACAGCAAACTATATGGAAAGAGACAAGAAATGTGGTACAAAGACAATTTCTTGCTTGAGATGAAACATATAATGCATGGCCGGCTCCTGTTTCACCAACCAAATGGTTGATCCTCATTTGAGAAAGCAATTTCTAAGAAATGCATAAATGAAAGAGAGCCTTATCCTTCTAGAGAGCTACAGAGCACAAGAAAGGCAAATCTCTGCAGGACAATCTATAGAATCGTGGCACTTTTTGATGTTTCAATAAACTCAAGATTGTCAGAGTTTCAAGAACTTTTCCCTCGTGATTTTCCTAGTTCATGGAAGGAACTCTCAAAGGAATTCTCAATTCATAGGAATTCTCAATTCATATTCCTTGTATTGAACCTCAAATGAACAAAGAACATTTGGGACATATCAGGTCAAATATGAATGGCTGAGTGAAGGTCTGAGAATTAGAACGTAGTCAACGATTACAACGTAAATTTCCTAATATTAATGGTGCATTGTAGTATGTAAGCAGACTGTCCTCCTTTAAGACAAATACACACTGAAGTACTGAAGAGTGCAATTAACAGGGCATCAGGCAACTTACAAAATGGTTCAGGAAAAAAAGAAACTCTGTGAAATTATTTAAAATTTTGTTCAAGAATTTAAAAGGGCATAAACAGGATGAAATGAAATTCAATAGACAGATTCCTACTTAAGATCAAATGATACATCCGACTTCAACAGTGACTTATTTGATTCTGCTGCTAACAAACTAATTCACTTAGTGCTCCATGCTTTTATATTAATCCTCTCGTGTATTAGTATTTTAAGTCTTTCAATTTTTTTAACATAAATAATGCCTCAAGGATAATAGTTCTAATTAGAATATTCATTAACTTCAAAATTATTATCATCAAAATAACATTTGTGGCTTTGTCCTTTTTTTTAAAGCAAGGTCTTGCTCTGTCACCTAGGGCTGTAGTCAGATCAGGGCTCACTGTGGCCGACTCTGGGGCTTTCAAGCAAGTCTTCCCACTCAGCTCCCAAACCTGGCACTACAGGCACACACCACCACGCTCCGGGTAAATTCTCTTCTTTGTTGTAGAGATGAGTCACATTATGTTGTGCAGGCTGTTCTCAAACTCCTGGCTCGAAGTGATTCCTCCTACCCTTAGCCTCCCAAGTGCTAGATAACAGGCATGAACCACCATCCCGGCTTTTTTCTTTTTAATAATTTTTTTCAGTACTATAATTTTCCTGTGTGAATTATAATCACTTAGACAAAGGGTGTCACATTCCTATTTAGAAAATTTATATTGAACATCACACTTAAGAAAACTTAATATTACCTGAGGGCACCCTTTCATTTCACATGATCACCTAATGTTTTTATATAAAAATATGGTTAATATGAAATTAGTAAAATGCAGCATATAAAACTTCATGCTGAGCAAAAACAAGTCCAAAAAAGTCTCCATACATCATAGATAAATTCCAACAGGACATGTTTCTATGTAAATCATACCTGAAGCAATTTTAAACATTTAGAAATATATTTTGCAATTTGTAAACTGTAGGCATCCACATTTTTCTTCCACCACATAAATCTGTTCCTTTGATTAAGTTGGCAATATCTGCTAGGATCCACAGAATGCAGCCAAAACAAACAACAAAAAAAACCCCAGTGGTTAGTTTCTCACGATTTGAGAAATTGGTCCACCTTAGTGAGTTTCCTGAGATTCTGCTCCACCGAAGTCCAAAACACGAATTTGTCTTCTCTGGACTCTTGCTTATGTAAGCTTTCTCTGCTTTGGTCTTGGACCCAAGGATCACCTGCATATTCAGATTCTAGAAGAGAAGTCCAACAATTTCTTGAATCTCTCTTTGCTTTGTAGACGACGCCATTTTCTATCCACCAGGTCCATGTTCCCTCATCGCTATTGTGAGAGGTCAAAGAGTTTGCCCCTTGAGATCTCGCGGCACCACCCACCGCCAGCGCACAGCTGCTCCTGCAGGCCCACACTGGCATATCCTGGGGCCGAGTGCCTGGTGCGGCAACCTGAACTGTCAATTGAAACACCTCCCTCCAGGGTCTGGTACGCACTGGCCCACGGGGCCCGCACGAACACACCCACTCGCTCCTCAAATGCAGACAGAATCCACATGCTTCCGGCTGCAGCCGCACAAGCCAGCCCGAGCGCAGGCGCGGAGTCCTCTGAAGAGTTTTTAAAATTATATTCACATGGAATACTCTTTCTCCATGCTTGATCTATTCTTCCACTCTGAATTTAGACTTTTTTTAAAGCCAGAAGAATGAGCCTAAGACTGTATTCATTCCTTTTTGGTATCGAATGGGAGAAAAACTCAAGTCATTGTTTCTACGATCTCATGTACAAACCAGGATGTAACTTCCCTTGGCAAATAAATATATTTCTGTTAGTATTTCCAGGATTAGTTGAAAAAAGATACCCCTTATTTTCATACATCCTTATTTAATTTTTCTCCTATTAGCTTCACCATCATAGCAGTACCTGACCCAAACAAACCAAAAGCTCTGAATCAGAGTCTCTGGACATCAATTATCATTTGACTTTCAGATCTTCTGTTTATGCTGGGTCAGTAAAGATGCTGCCAGACATCTTCAGGATATATGTGTTCTATTTTGTATTTGTGTTTGATACAGAAAGTAAATTATATTTAATATTTAAATATTCTGTTCCTTTAGTTTTCCTGTTTCTAGTCTACACTGTAATTTGATAATGGAGAAACCTGGATTTAATTCCATATGGTAAATGGCATGTTACCCTTTTTCACTAAACACCAAGTAATTTATCTTAATCTGGAGGTCTATAGTGCTAACGTAATACCACTTAAAATTTCTAAATGTCTCCTTTCTATAGAACTGGAACCTCTGTTTAACTTACCCTTGACTGCCTGTGGTAGCCCTTGTGAAGCTCACAAGACTCAGTAGTTTATTTCCCCAATTATCTGTTTGTCATACTTCTTAGGACCTGTATATTAAAATCTTTTGAGCTTTTCAGGTTGAATGAAAACTTTATTTTAATATTTGATTAAATTTACAAGATTCTGCATTTGTTATTTGCTTTTTTTTTCAGATTGAAAGAATGCTAGAATTACATAAACTTTCCTCTTTGGTGGGGGTAAGTAACAGGATGGATGGGGATGAGGGTAGGAGTGAGACTTTTCAGTATAAACCTTCCCAAAGTCATTATGTATTTCAACCACTACATTTTATGGAAAAGGAAAGGAAAGATGTACATACATACCCACTTTAATTTCTGTGAACAGCAAGTGATCTCATGTGCCTCTCCTGGCTGCCACCCCCACTGTCCTCCCATTTAGCTTTGGTGCAGGAGGTGAAACCTAAATGTTTTAAGCCTGTGCTAACTGTCGCCATGGAGGAGGAGGACTTCACAGGAGGCTTTCTGGGATTCTTTTGCCAACCTTCCCCCGACATCCTTCAGCATTCCATGCCTTTCTTCTGTTCTAGTGGAGCCCTGTTTACTGGTGCAGTGAACTGGCACACACAGTGAGCACAGTCCTGTCCTCTGACTTCCTCCCAGCCCCGAGAACCACAGTGACGAGTCCTGGCCATCTCCCCAGGTCTGAATCACCGTGGCGGCGAGAGCAGCACATGGCTTTCCGCATCTTTTTCCCTCGGCCGTTTCCTTACTTCCTCTCTCCAAATTAGGAGGCTACAGTGAAGTTTTCCAGACGTTGTCGCTAACTTCCTTTCAGTGGGTAAGGCTGCTTGGAAGTTGGAACAGCACATCATAGATTCCTGAAGGCTTTTGTTCTTTTTTTTACTGATTGGTATTTAAGAAAAATTAAGTTAAAGTTGTAATTCTTTTTGTTTGTTTGTTTTTTGTTTATTTTTATTTCAAAAGATTTTGTGATCTGGCTTGACACACCATTTTAACCTAGAAGTTTCTGATCCTCTTCAAGAATATCTGTTAAATAGTCCTCTATGAGTATCTGTTGAATATTCCTTCAGGTGTACTTGTCTGTACCAGCTGTTGATTAAGATAATGATGTTAATTGGTATCACAAAACTATTTCAATGATAAGTGTAGATCATTTTAATCGACACAGTAAATACATGCCTCCAAATGATCTAACAATTGTTTTCTTATGCAGCAAAAGCTGCTTTCTGCAACTTTGCCTAGTAAAACCCTTTTGCATAATGCAATAACAAAAGTCAGCTGTGACTCTTAACCAATGAAGAGTCCAAATTAATTTGGTTTTATTATTTTGGATGTGTGTATGTCATATTTTAGAGTTAGAATAACTTTTGGTAACTAGCACACTATACCATGGAGCCAGAACCTAAAGTGCAGACAGTGAATGGCAGGGTCAGCAATTTCTTCACTAGGTGGAGACAGCCGCAAACCTTTTTATTCCTTATGTACATTAGAATGAAATTTTCTATGTGTTTTTCCTTATCTTTTCTTCCTATTACAGTTTTTACCACTTTTGTTGCATGATTTCTTCTAAACCTGAATTCTTTAGGCATACATAGCCATGTTACTTTTACCATTATGAATGCAATTATAATTTCTCCTTGAACTCTGGTCTTTGCTCATAAACAATAAATAAAAATGCTCTAGATTATAGCCTGTGGACCATATTTTAAAATATGAAACCTATATTTATCTATTCTAAATTTTCTGTCTTTTGATAAAGATTCCCCCTTGAAACTTCCTAGTTGGGGGTGTATTATTAGCAACAATGCCAATGTTTTTTGAAGAGTTTTTTTTTTTTTTGACACAGAAACCACCTAGAATGATCTTCTAGTGGCCAAAAGTACAATTTTGAGCAAAGTAATGAGAATAACACTGAATAAAACAGGAAATCATGAGTCTATACAGATACAAATAAATTGAAAGTTTGATGGGAAACAAGGTAGTATTTTGAAACTACATTCAGACAAAATAATTATAAACATATAGAGTAACTTCACGGTTGGGAAGTCTGGCAGATACTACCGTAATCAGTGATTTAAGTAGTACCATCAGAAATGGGACAAATTGAAATTATTAATCCATGATAGGATGCAGTAAGAACACATCATCACTTCTATAACTTTCCTAAAACATTTCCAAAGACATATAACTTGAATCTAATCATGAAGACGTATCAGACAAAATTCAAAATAAGGGATGTTCTATAAAACTGGTTTGTAATATGCAAAAGTGCCAAGCTGAAGCTGAGAAAAAAATGAGATCTTGTTCCCCACTGAAGTAGACTAAAGACCCCTGACATTTAAAGGGAAGATATGATTAACTGGATTGTCTTGCTACAAAGAACATTATTGGGACAATCAGGTCAATATGAATGGAGTGAAGGTCTGAGATTAGATAGAGTAACATGACAACGTAAATTTCCTAATATTAATGGTTGCATTGTAGTTATGTAAGAGACTGTCCTCCTTTGAAACAAATACACACTGAAGTACTAAGAGGCAATTAACAGGGCATCAGGCCAACATGGTTACCAAAATGGGACCATTACAAAATGGTTCAGGAAAAAAGAAACTCTGTGAAATTATTTAAATTTTGTTTCAAGAATTTAAAAGGGCATAAACAGGATGAAATGAAATTTCAATAGACAATTCCTACTTAAGATCAGAATGATACCATCGACTTTCAATCAGTGACTTATTTTGATTTCTGCTGCTAACAAAACTATATTCACTTAGCTGCTCCTCTTTTATATTAATCCCTTCGTATAGTTACGTATTTAAGTCTTTTTCAATTTTTTAACATAAAGTAATGCCTCAAGGAATAATATCTAATTAAGAAATTTTCATTAACTTCAAAATGATATTACTCAAAATACATTTGTGGGCTTTTGTCCTTTTTTTTAAGAGACAGGGTCTTGCTCTGTCACCTAGGCTGTAGTGCAGGATCAAGGCTCACTGTGGCCCCCGACTCCTGGGCTCAAGCAATCTTCCCAACTCAGCCTCCCAAACAGCTGGCACTACAGGCACACACCACCACTCCTGGGTAAATTCTCTTCTTTTTTTGTAGAGATGAGGTCACATTATGTTGTGCAGGCTGTTCTCAAACTCCTGGCCTCAAGTGATTCTCCTACCTTAGCCTCCCAAAGTGCTAGGATTACAGGCATGAACCACCATACCCGGCTTTCTTTCTTAATAATTTTTTCAGTACTATAATTTTCCTGTGTGAATTAGTATACTTAGACAAAGGGGTACACAATTCCTATTTAGAAAATTTTATTGAACATCACACTTAAGAAAAACTTAATATTACCTGAAGGCACCCTTTCATTTCACATGATCTACCCTAATGTTTTTTATATTGAAAATATGGTTAAATATGAAATTAGTAAAATGCAGCATATAAAACTTCATGCTGAGCAAAAACAAGTCCAAAAAAGTTCCCATACATCCATAGAATAATTCCAACAGGACATGTTTCCTATGTAAATCATACCTGAATGCAATTTTTAGAACCATTTTAAAATATATTTTGCAATTTGTTAACTGTAGGCATCCACATTTTTCTTCACCACATAAATCTGTTCCTTTGATTAAGTTGGCAATATCTGCTAGGATCCACAGAATGCAGCAAACAAACAACAACAACAAAAAAAAACCCAGTGGTTATTTCTCAAGATTTGAGAAATCTGGTCCACCTTTAGTGTAGTTTCCTGAGATTTCTGCTCCACTGAAGTCAAAACCAGGATTTTCTTTCTGGACTCTCTCTAATGTAAGCTTTCTCTGCATTTGGTCTTGGACCCAAGGATCAGCTGCATATTCAGATTCTAGAAGAGAAGTCCAACAATTTGCTGCATCTCTCTTTGTCTTTGTAAGAACAACTACGAACCATTTTTCTATCCTCCAAAGTCCATGTTCCCTCATCAGCTATTGTAGAATCAAAGAGTTTGCCCTTGAGGATCTCGCGGCCACCCACCGCCAGCGCCACATGCCTGCTCCGCAGGCCACACTGGATATCCTGGGCGCGAGTGCCTGGTGGCACCTGAACTTCAATGAACACCTCCTCCAGGGTCTGGTACCACTGGCCCCACGGGGTCCCGCACGGAACCACCCCACTGCGCTCCTCAAATGGGGCAGACAGAATCCAATCGCTTCCCGGCTGCAGCCGCACCAAGCCAGCCGAGCGCAGGCGCGGAGTCCTCTGAAGAGTTTTTTAAATTATATTCACATGGAATACTTTTCTTCCATGCTTGATCTAATTCTTCCACTCTGAATTTAGACTTTTTTAAAGCCGAAGAATGAGCCTAGACTGTACTCATTCTTTGTTGGTATCATGGGAGAAAATCTCAAGTCATTGTTTCTAGACTTCACTTACAAACCAGGATGTTAACTTTCCCTTGGCAAATAAATATATTTTCTTTAGTATTTCCAGGATTAGTTGAAAAAAGATATCCCTTATTTTTCATACATCCTTATTTAATTTTTTCTCTATTAGCTTCACCATCATAGCAGTGCCTGACCCCAAACAAACAAAAGCTCTGAATCAGAGTCTCCTGGACATCATTTCATTTGACATTTCAGATCTTCTGTTTATGCTGGGTCAGTAAAGATGCTGCCAGACATCTTCAGGATATATGTGTTCTATTTTGTATTTGTGTTTGATACAGAAGTAAATTTATATTTAATATTTAAATATTCTGTTCCTTTAGGTTTTCCTGTTTCTAGTCTACACTGTAATTTGATAATGGAGAAACTGGATTTAAATTCCATATGGATAAAATGGCATGTTACCTTTTCACTAAAACACCAAAGTAATTTATCTTAATCTGGAGGTTTAGAGTGCTAACGTAATACCACTTAAAATTTCTAAATGTCTCCTTTTCTATAGAACTGGACCTTCTGTTTAACTTACCCTTGACTGCCTGTGGTAGCCCTTGTGAAGCTCACAAAAGACTAGTAGTTTATTTCCCCAATTATCTGTTTGTCATTTACTTCTTAGGACCTGTATATTAAAATCTTTTTGAGCTTTTCAGGTTGAATGAAAACTTGTATTTTTAATATTTTGATTAAATTTACAAGATTCTGCTTTGTTATTTGCTTTTTTTTTCAGATTGAAAAGAAATGCTGAGAAATACATAAAGCTTTCCTCTTCTGCCTCGGCTATTTACAATGGGTATCGGGAAGTCTAAAATAGATTCCTGCCCTCTTTCTCTCTCTTGGGGTAAAAGCCACAGCGTGGATACAAGTCAAGGACATTATGAGTCAGCTTCCAAGAACTCTGAGGACATCTCCCTGTGTGATGTTGCTGAGCGTGGCAAGACGACAGAGGAGCCCCCAGGGGAGCAGGAGGGAGCTGAGGGAGAGGCAGAGACGCCTGAAGAAGACGATGAAGAAGAGGAGGTGTTCCTCAAATTTGTGATTCTGCATGCTGACGATGACACGGATGAAGCCCTCAGAGTCCAGAATGTGCTGCAAAACGACTTTGGTATCAAACCAGGAATAATCTTTGCTGAGATGCCCTGTGGCAGACAGCATTTACAGAATTTAGACGATGCTGTCAATGGGTCTGCATGGACAATCTTATTACTGACTGAAAACTTTTTGAGAGATACCTGGTGTAACTTCCAGTTCTACACGTCCCTAATGAACTCCGTTAACAGGCGGCACAAGTACAACTCGGTTATACCATGCGGCCCTGAACAATCCCCTCCCCGGGAAAGGATCTCCCTTTGCTCTCCAAACCATCAATGCCTTAGAGGAAGAAAGTCGTGGCTTTCCTACACAAGTAGAAAGAATTTTTCAGGAGTCTGTGTATAAGACACAGCAAACTATATGGAAAGAGACAAGAAATGTGGCACAAAGACAATTTATTGCTTGAGATGAAACATACAATGCATGGCTCCTGTTTCACCAACCAAATGGTTGATCCTCATTTGAGAAAGCAATTTCTAAGAAATGCATAAATGAAAGAGAGCCTTATCCTTCTAGAGAGCTACAGAGCACAAGAAAGGCAAATCTCTGCAGGACAATCTATAGAATTGTGGCACTTTTTGATGTTTCAATAAACTCAAGATTGTCAGAGTTTCAAGAACTTTTCCCTCGTGATTTTCCTAGTTCATGGAAGGAACTCTCAAAGGAATTCTCAATTCATAGGAATTCTCAATTCATATTCCTTGTATTGAACCTCAAATGAAAACTTGTATGACAGACAATTTAAAAATGTGACACTTTTATTCTCTGAATTTTTTTCTCAAATGACATGCAGAAGAAATGGCCCCAAGAGACCTGACTAGACTCTCTCATGAGGCACCTCTCATGAATGTTGCAATAGAACATTCTGGGTGCTGTCACCCAGAGACATGAACTGCTAGAATAGAACATTTCGAATGCTGAGTGCTGATGCATATAAAATCAGAAATAGATGTGGAATGGCGGAGCTTTTTAAAAGAATCCAGTCAAATGTGTTTTCCTTTCTGCTGAAATTTGCATATTTGGAGTCATTTCCCGCCACCGATTCACAGCCCATTTGATAGTGTGGTTGTTGGGGACTCCGTGGAGCCGTGTGGAGGTGTCCCCTGGGGCCTGAAGCGCTCTGTGCTAGTCAGTGTCTGTAACCAGGGCTTTCTTTGCAGAACTTAGAAGATGTTTGATTGTGTGCGATTGGCCAGATGTTCTCCTTTAAAATCGGTGACCTCTCTTGTGACATCCTTTTAAAAAGTTATCCTCACACGCAATGCTCTACTCAGGAAATATTTCTCATCCAGGTGTTCACAGTAGCCTGGCTGTGTGTGTGTAGGCGTGTGTGTGTTGTGGGCTGTTTTTAAAGACCTGGGATAGAAGTAGGAGATATATTTTGTCACCTCCTCTTCTAGTGCGCCACGCTCATAACAAGCCGGACAGGTCTCGGACTGACCAATTTCTTTCCCTCACAGCCCTTCTGCCGGCTGAGACTGGGCAGCATCTCCAGGTGCAGACGGGGGATGGAGTGGAGAATGAGGCACGTCATGTTGTAATGAGAAAACACTTTCAGGGGTCACAAGACCTGGTTCTAGTCCAATCTCTGCCACCGAAGATGCCCACAGTCAAGCCATTTACCCTCCTTTATCTGTGAAATGAAAGGGTTGGATGGATGGATCTCTAAAGGCCTTTGTCTTCTCCCAGGATGTGAAAAACTAGGAACCAGAAAAGGGAATAAGAAAAAAGTTAAAAGTTTATAATGTGATATATAGTAGTCGCAGAAGGCTTTTATATATGCCTACAATGAAAGGATGTATTTGAATATTGACAGCATAATTGATTCCTAATGCTGCCATTACACTTTTAAAGTCATAGAAAAGAATTATTATCCATACTTAGGTTTTTTTAAAAAATACATTTTTTATAGGGACCCTTGAGTGACAACATTTTCCCAACTTCTTTTTCTTCTTATCCCCACTTCTCTGTATCCCCTACTAGTACTAAGGTCTGCTCACATCTTTTTGCAGTTCACCCCTTCATAGCCATGAACCAAAATGTTCTATGAAGAACATGTAAGTCAGTCAAGCCTCCTATTCTATTAGTACTTATTGGAGGAGGAGATTGTTTTCATTCCATAGTGACATTTTCTGGACCTTAATGTCTGTATAGTAGCTTACTACTCACTTTTTCAGTTTTAATAAGTATTCATTTCTTTGCCATAATGCTTCCTGTATCTCAAATTTTATATGCTAATAAAACATTAACTTCCCATCCTTCATGCCTGCCAAACTTGGACAATTGATGCTAAATGGTACTTTTAAAATAAATGTTCTTATTCTTTACCCTTGACTAAACTTGATTATTTCCAACTCCAGTGAAGATTGTGGAAAAGTGTCTTGAAAAGAAGCATCAAGTTGTTCTCCTCCATAGAGCACCAGGCACAATGTATCACCCAATTTGGAGTTCAATACTGTTTTTTATGATGAAGAAAAATTTGTTAGGTACTAACTGTACATGTTGAAATTAATAATTGTAATAAGGGATTATCAAAATAGATAAACTGAGGATAAAAAGAGGTAAAGGTGTGGGCTTAGTCATGTGTTTGTATGTTTACATATATGCATGTATAGAGATACAGACACACACACACAGGAAGATTCTGGAAATTTCTCCACATGATGGGGCGCTTCTATCTTATGTACTCCAGGGGCCTTATTGCCCATCCTGGAGCTTCACATGGACGAGTCTGAGTTGCACTTTATGTATCAGTTAGGAAAACCCCATGCCACATCGCCTAAACCATAAGGTAAAGTTGTTAATGAGAGGTCCCCCCCAAGGTACGGTGGCTCAAAGGTATCATTAAACACCTAAGTTCTTACTTACACTGGAATATTATTCAGTCTTGAAAAGGAATAAAATTCTGATACATGCGACAACATGAATGAACCTTGAAAACATTATGCTGAGTCAGACACTAAGCCAGACACAAAAGGAAGAGAATTGTATGATTCTACATATATGAGGCAAATTCATAGAGACAGAAAGAATAAAGGTTACCAGGGGCCAGCAGGACGGACGAATAGGGAGTTAATGTTTATGGGTGCAGAGTTTCTGTTTGGGTGATGAAAGAGTTCTGGAAATGGGTTAGCAGCAATGGTGCACCACACTGTGAATATACTAAATACCACTGAGATGTACACTTAAAAATGGTTAAAATGATAAATTTTACGTTATGTATTAATACAATTTACCACAATACAGGCTAAGTATCTCCTATCCAAAATGCTTGGGACCGGAAGTGTCTTCAATTTCAGACTTTTAGGTTAGGGATGCTCAACCTGTGTTAACAACGATGACGACAGCATTAAAAACAAACCTGGGTCTTTTCGCTCTGTCATTCTCAGGGGTTCAGTTCAGCTCCCTCCTAGGCTGTAGCATGGCTGCTGCAGTGTCAGATGCCACACACAGAACTGTCAGTGTGCGGCCCGATAAGAGAAGGGAGTGGCCCACCCAAGTGGGAAAAAAGTTTCATCACTGCATTATTGAATATCGTTGATAAGTGGTGATAATACAGAGCCATCTGACTTCCAGCTGCTTTTATTATTTTAAAATTCTCTCCACCTCCACACCAGGTGGACTCCTCCCACTCCCCACTCCCACCACATCCGCCCACACCTGTGCCCTGTGCGTCAGACTGCCCAGAGTGGAACCCCACCTCTTGGCTTCTGTAAGTTATGCTCTTAAGCAAGACAGCTAAACTTTTGGGTTATCTGTGTTTTTGTCTGAAAATAAAGATCATGATACCTCCCTGAAAGGGTTACTCTGAAGATTCGATGAGGTAGTGCCTCACACATAGCTGCCGTATCTATGCTGGTAGAACTATTAGTGTCCCCTACACACATTTAATCTGCAACATGGGGTGGGAGAGAGAACACATACCAGTTTATACTCACCCACGACACTATCCTTGGAACCCTTGCAACTTGCAGGCAATAAACTTTAAACGAAGAGATAGAAAGATGCTGGGCCTTGTTTCTGTATGCAGCCTGGTCCCCATCTGGGCACTGAGAAATGGAAGTGTCCCCTGAGCATGGCCTCATGACTCTAACAAGTCAGGAAAATTAGGCCATAGCCTGGAAAAGCAGGAAAACGGAGTTAGAAGTGCCACATATGAAGCCAGTTCGGGGGAAGAATGGCTCAAATGTGGATGCCTTCAGTTGTGTTTTGTTGCTCCTTATGTTCAAAAATGGTGGATTAATTTTGTAAACATTTGAGTTTGAAGAGAAGGGGTGTAATCCATTTCATTTAGCCCTTTTCTGGGGCTCAGCAACTCTCAGATAATTTTGCCTCCTTTGGGAATAGGCTGGATGCAGTTTAGTTACACTCTTCTCCTTGGGTTAGGTGGAGGAGGGAGGAAGAGAAGCGCTAATCTGCGTTGCTCCTTTCTTTCTTGGCTAACTTGATTTCTACCTTGAATTCAACGGGTTGCTTGCTGGTGTTAATCCTTTCTGGCACAAGTCAGGGCTGTTCTCCTTCAGCTGTGCAGATCCTAAGGTGTTGGCTGGCAAACCCTCCTTAGTTATAGAAATGACATCCCTGAGCCCTCTCATCCCCGACGACTCATTCCTAAGCCCCAGCCCAACTGCTGATTATTGTGTTGTTCCAAATCATGAGAAAGCCCAAAAAAACCCAATCACTTCTTCCCCGGTAGCAAATACAGAGACAAGAATTGATGAGCCATCTCTCTGCCCAGCAGTGGACTCTGCAAGAAAGAGATTGAAGTGATTTTCAGAGTCTCGTTGCAGGGGGTGAAATCTGAGTTGGGGTCCAAGGGCCTGAGGATGGCAAGTGGCTCAGTATAAGCAGCCAAGTCAAGTGAATCATTGCATTGCAGGTAAAGAATCTCAGGTTCTTTACCTGTGCATTTTGCAGGTAAAAAAAAAATCTCAGTGCAGGTGAAGAAACCACATGTCACACTGTCAAGTCAGGATATTTTCAACTTTAGGTAGAGTCCATTGACCTGTGACCGGGCTGAGCTGGCCCTGGGTTGGTGAGATGCCATTGTCGTGACTGCATTGCTAGAAGGTGGGATGGCCCACGGGCCAACAGCGCTGCCTACCCTCACAGTCCTGCATCAACTGGCCTTAGGTCACCTGCTGGGCTGTCACAGGATGTGACTGTACCCTCCCTACTTGTGGATGGTCTGAAGGGCAAGGAGAGAATTTCAGAAAGCTGCCAAGCCCCTGGCGAAATGAAACCATAGCATCCAGAAACTGACGTCCTTGAGCCAATGACTAGAAGGAATGAACAAGAGGACTGCCGTTGTTGTCCACGAACCTAATGTTTCTCATGAGATTCCAAGCAGAAAAGTGTATTAGGTTTTGGACGTTTAGCGGCGGCTGGTTAAGAACAGCATTCCTCTCTATATTCTTTTATTCTAAGTCCCATTTGGCAATGCTCATTGTCAACTAACACATTAAGCCTGAATTGTGGTAAGTAGTTCTTGAAAGTGCCATTAACAATAACTCAGAGCACGCAAATTATTTGATTAAAAAAGCTCAAGAAGCTAACCTGTGGCAGGTGGGGGGAAGCCCGTTGCTCTGTCCCCTCCTGTCCCCACCGTCACTCCAGCAGCTACACTCTTTTTCGCACAGCCCTTCCTTGCTGGCAGGAGCGACAATGGTTCTGGGGGAAATAACTTCTGTAACTGGTATGGCACTCCTCCGGCTCTCTTCACATAGAGCGAGTTCTGAGTCATTTTACTCTGAGGTGAATAAATAGGAATGCTTTTATTAGTAAATAACAGGAACCTGCATTGAAGCAGTTTTGTAATCTAATTAGGAATGTTCCTTCCAGCTACCTACTCAAACTACAGGTTTAAAATAAGGAAATTGTTTTTCCTCTACAGTTTGTGGAGGAGCTGAATAATCTAGTTCCTTCCTTAGGGTTTCCATGGATATGTTGGACAGGACACATAACTAGCTTTACAGATTTCTACATATTTTATTTATATTTATAAATAATGCTCTCACATGAAAATGTACTAAAATTAGGTCGTAGCAATGGTTGCACAACTCTGCAAATATATTAAAAACTGTTGACTTGTACACTCTGGGTACATTTTATAGTGTATAAAACATATCTCAATAAAGAACCTAAAAAAACGCACAAGCAAAAACATCAAAATGCTACAATGATTTGGAAACACAATTTGGCAATGACTAGTAATATTGAGGATGGGCATATCTCTTAAATCTAGCAATTATACCTCTGGATCTGTACCCTGCAGAAACTCTCTACAGATACCCAAAGAGGCATGTGTGAGAAGGATGCTTTTTGCAATATTTTTTGCAACAGTGAAAATGGTAAACAATCTAAATGTCCATCAGTAGGAGAATGCAGAAATACATTATGGTAGATTCACACAATAAAATACTATAGAGCATTTAAAATAACTAACAAAGCTACATATATGATATGGGTAAATCTCAAAACATAATGATGGGGGAGTAAGTTATAGAATAATATAGACAATCTCATACCACTTTTATAAAGTTTTAAAACCTACATGACAGCACTATGTTTTTAGTGGATACATACAATGGTGATAGTGCATTACTTTCCATGCTCTTCTACATGTTTGAAATAAGTTTGTAATCATTTTTTAAATTACCACACATTTGGAGTCATGTTAAGTGCTGCAGAAGCTTCTTACACATGCAATCATTTGAGGAATAAAAGAAAGAGAAAGACTGTCAACTGATAAATAAATTAGAGAAATATATGTTGGTAATAATGGGTCTCATTTTTTATCACCTACTGGGCCAGGCACTTAACTGACATTAACGCCAATGTTCCCCAGATTCCTACAAGGTTAGTCTTATCAAGTCTAATATCAGTCCCAGGAATCTGAAGCTGGAGACGTAGTAATATAACCAAGATCACAGGCTGGTGCATGATAGAATCATTAAGATTTCTAGTGATCTGGTTCCAAAATCTGGTGGGTCTTAGGCTCCATAATGCTGCTTCTTATTGGATCTGTCTGATTTTTCCTATGGTGGAGAGTATTAGGAGAGGTCAGTAGTACAAAGAGAAAAACCATTGCAATTTCTAAGTGAAAACAAGAAACAGGATAGTGAGGTTGCCCTAATTTCAGTCTTCTTTTGCCTAGTATGAATAACTCATGATGGGGGGTCAGGAGTTACATGTCCAAATTCCACTCACAGAGCTCCTCACAGTGCACCGCTGTTGAGCTAACTTTTCCAGTCTTCATTCTTTTTCTCCAGAAGTCTTCAAGTGTTGCGGTAGCTAATTTCTCTTTCTTCTTCTTCTTCTTCTTCTT